GTGGACATTACTTTCTTTCAGCATTGTGTATTAAAAAGCACATTCATTTTCCTTCAAGTGATTTTAATTGAGTTTGTTTAAAGAGTTAATTATAAATATTAAATATATACTTATTTTATAAAGAATTATTTTCACCGGGAGTCTATGGAAAATAAGTTTAATTTATCAGATTCTGTAAATAACTTAACTGTGTATGTAAATATTACATTCTTATATTATAATTTAAATCTGAATCTTGCAACGCAGTGAAAGAGTCATTTCCGGTTTCTGTAAACCATAAATATTATTGATCAGCATTGAGAGAGAGAGAGAGAGAGCCCTTCCTCTTGATATGTCTATCACTCTCTATGTGCCTCAATAGATGGTTCTCTCGCTCTATCACTTGCAGCGTGCCTCTAGACTTATCTCTTACTCTCTCGCTCTCACTGTTTCTGTTCTCTTCACTCGGGAAGTATAAATAGAGGCGCTTCGATCGCCGCGAGCTCAGTCTGTCCTAGGGGTACCTAGTGTTAACATCGATAGTGATAGTGATTGTGATTACCATTCGACCTTAGAAGAATGACGTGGTCAATTGAATACAACTGGATAAACAGGAAGTGGAATATTCCGAAGATGACAAAGCTAATTGTGGTTACCAGTAAATAACTCTACACTGGATGAAACTAATCAATGAAGAAAATGGGTAACCATGTGCTCCACTGGTAAGTCTTAGCCATGACTATAATATCAGGTATAAATATGCTATAGAAGGGATCTAGAACAAGTCTTAACTCAGCTTAGCTAGCTATGCATTTATTTTCAAACTAATTTCCCTGATTGCCATGGACTCAATTATTTAATATTAATTTAAAGTGATACAGCAAATTTTATAAATTAGAAAGGAATATATACGAACGTATACACTCATAGGTATTGATATAAATGTTATTTTCTAATTATTTATGATCAATTGCACAATTAAACTCATGATCCTTACAGCTAACTAAAAGTATTTACCAATTTCGACCTCCCAAAGTTAGCTTCCTTTCTTATTTTTAATTTATACACTTTCCCATTTACAGTCACTTTTTAGTGCAATAAAAATGTGTAAATCTTAAGTTTCCAGTGATGAAAGAAAATACTACTCTGCTGGCTTCTTACCTTTTGCAGATTTTCCATGCTTTTCCTGCTGGTTTTCTTTATTATTTTTTTGGGTGAGGGGGAGGAGAAGGATCTCCTTACTTTCGGATGCAACTTGCAGACTTTAACCCGAAAACTTTTCCTGATAGTGCCGCCAATTGATAAGGCAGTCTACCCTGACTTTTCTCCACTTTTGCCACGATTTTCCGCCCTTTTTCCAACACACACACACCCACAGTCGCACACCCCCAACACACACACACAGACAAAGACAGACAGATGCAGGCAACGTAGCGGAAGTCATAAACAATTTTTATGTTTTCACATTTCAAGTGAAATTCATTTCGCGTTTTCCTTTCTTCTTCGTTTCTTTTTCACTCTTTTTTTTGTTTTGTTATGGCTGCTGCACTTTATGGATTTCAATTTCTTATTCCTTCTTACATGACCGAAAATTTTCACATATATCAGGACATATGAACAGTCAGGTATATGAAATTATGAGTTCTAGCTTAAAAATCGGTTATATATATTTTAAATACAATATATATAATATTTAGGTTTAGATTTGGACTTAATAATAATATAAACATAATCTTATTAGTGTTTTTATTTTGTTTTTCAACTTTATTTAATAAAATCCTTGTAAAATATTCGATTATACTCTTTATAAAATATTCTTAATTTAATTTCAAGTACCATTGCTATCGGTATGCTATTTCCTTGACCCCAACTGTATGTAAATGGGTCATCCCCTTCAGAAAAAAAAATTGAATTTAATTGTGCGAAAGGAGGGAAAATCGGTGTCACCTGGCCGGCTAATGAAAGCGGCTCATAAAAATGAAAACTCGCACCCTCAACAAAAAAATGCAAAACTTGCAGGATTCTCACGACACCAAAAAAAAAAAAAAATATATATATATATATATATATAAACGAGGAAAGGAAGGTGGCTTAAAATTAACAATTTACCACTTCCTCAGATGGCTCAGTAGCAAGTGGCAAGCACTTAAGGCTTGCTAGCATAATTTTTCTACCTTCTTCTGGCTTTTCCCCTTGGCTTTTCCCCAGGTCCTCTCTGCAACCCCACTTTCTCCTAGCTTTCTCCCACTTTTCAACCACCTTTTTCGCACCTTTCTCGCTACCCAAATTGATGCCCGTAATGAGCTTAAATGGCTCATGACACATATAGCCCAACTAGAGGCTGCTCAAGGTGCGAGAAATCCTCGAATTCGCCGGCCGCTTTTCCCTCGCTTTTCCGCTGCAATCTTTTTTTTTCATATTTTTTTGGTTTATATTTAGGTTGATTCAGCTTTTTTTCCCCCATTTCTAAGCTGAATTCTAGGCATTGGCGTTAATTTTTAAAAAAAAAGCAAAAGGAAATGGGAAAAGGGGAGCTTTAAGCTGACACGAAGGATTGCCTGGAAAAATTATATGATTTAATTATGTTTTTTTATTAAATTTATTTATGCTTAATTAAAAAACTTAGGTATGAAATAAATAACAGCTATAGCCTAGTATTTATATTAAAAACTGCAAGGAAAAGAGACTTAAAACTAAAAGTATGGCTCTTAACTTTATGTACTAAAAGTAATCCACCATTACTTTTAAATAATTATTTAAGAATATATATGATTAATTCACATAATTGCAAACTTTTGACTTAAGTAATAATATCCTTCAAGGATATAAAATGCTGTTGCCAGGGTCACTAACTTCATTCTAACTCCTTCATTATTCCTGTCGCATTTCATTAATTCAACTGCATAAATGTCGTGTGCCACACATTCCATTCTCGGTGTTGCCATAGTTTTCTCCTAATTTTCCCCGCATTTTTCCAGCTATGTAGCTGCTGTAAACACTTTACTAAAGAGTCCATTTCCGTTTGCCGTTTTGCAAGCCAAAAAAAAGAAGGAAACCGAAACGAAGCGAAAGAAGAAAATGAGTAAAATCCTGGGAATAAAGAATGAAAAGTGAAGACAGAAGTGTCTGCTGAATGGAGGGCGTACGTGTGTGTGTGTGGGGGCGTGGCATGCTTAGTTAGCTTTGGCCCCTTGACCGCAAAGACCCCCGGCTTTCAGGTCCTGGACCTGCAGCATCCAGCATCCAGCATCCTGCACTCTGCACTCTGTATGCCTGGATCCCGGATCCTTGGATCCTTAGATCCTTGGATCCCGGTCATCAGCTTGTCTCCGGTTCGTTGAGGCTACGAAATATATTTAAAAATTCTTTTGTGCTCCTTGGGTCGGTGCTGTGTGTATTTCGGATTCTTTTTGCCGCCGGTTGCCGCATTTTCATTTAGTTTGCATTATGTTTTAAATTGTCGCACTTGGCGCAGGACACTGAAGAAAATTACTTTCCTTTGGAAATTAATACATGAAAAAAAGTAATTATTTTGTAATTTAAAAGGTTCCTTTTGAGAAATTTTTCAAATAGGTTTTATAATGTAAAAGGTTTTCATGTTTAATTATTTTGTTTCATTATTTATAAATGATTTTGTTATATTAAAATATACTTCACGTTTCATTATAGCTTTCGGATCATTTTTTAGGCTTCCAAAAATAATTCTTTAATTAAATCTTAGCAAAAAATAAAAAACAAAACCCACAAAATGCGTTAAATCTTTAAAATTTTGAAAAATTTGCAAAAATGTGAATTTTTTTAAATTTTAAATTGAGTATGCAGATTTTTCGAAAAGCACAAATCCATGAAATCGTAGTAATTAAAGGGTTTAAAGCTTTATAAAATTCGACTGCCCAAAGTTAGTTTCTTTTTTTGTTTATAAATATACATATTTAAAGAGTGTATGAACATGATTTGGAAAATTAAAATATTTAGGAACCATTAGAAAATAAATGTACATTTCCATATTGTCCACTTTCTGAGTACTATAATTTCAGTCAAAAGCTTACAATTAAGTTAAGGAGTCATTTCCGACCCTACAAATCATATATATTCTTGATCAGCATCAACAGGCGAATCTTTCTAGGCATAAAGCAAAGAGAAAAAATTTGTGTCAATTTTTTCAACATTTTATAAGGGGTTATATCGTTAAAATTGTCAACAATTTTGAAAAAATTTTAATGTTTTTTAAATCTTAAATTAAGTAAGCGGATTTATTAACCTGATAAAAACTAGCATAAACCTGCTTTCCGAATTAAAATTAATGAATTTTTGGCTAAGTTACGAGTTTTTTAAACTTTAATTTACTGAAAAAATTGTCATATAAAAATATTGATAAATATTGATTCAAAAAATTGGAATATTAAAGCTTTGATATGATCGATTTAGGATTTGATCCTGTAATTAAATAGCAGGCTGCAAGGATATATGTATAAGCTTTAGCTACCTGAAGTTAGTTTCCTTTCGTTCTTATTTTAATTTCTATGAATTACGAATTCCAATACTTTAGTTTTTTTTTTCTTATCAAAATTAGTTGTTAAATATTTTAGATTTAATGCACTTCCGCCGACTCACCTGTTTTTGTTTGTGCACAGAGTCAAAGACACGTACTTAATGAGCTACAGCAGAGTGTTGCACTTCCCTCACTCTGTGTGTGTGTGGTGTGTGTGTGTGGTGTGTGTGCGGTTGTGGCAGACAACCCCTTCTTGACCCCTGACCCCCCTCTCCCTGCTCATCGCATTCACCGCTTGCCCCCTGCTCTGAGGCAATGCAGACATCATGACCAAACAACTTTCATTTGCTTGCACAGGACTCTGAACGAGAATCCTTGTCGGGTTGACAAAAGAGCCTTCCCTTGCTTTTCTTGTCGCCTGCTCTACTTTATATTTTATTTTTTGTTGAAAATCAGTGGAGGATTTCCCAGCAGCCAGCCTATGCCAATGCAGAAAATAATTTACTCTTTATAAAACTGTGGTTGATTTTATTTTAATATTATATATAGTTGATATAAAGTAGAAAGTAGAAAATCAGCAGGAATTGATATTTTTCGACTCTTTAAATCTGAAAATAAAAAATATATATGTTGAAGAATATCTTGTAAGATTGTTAAACCTACATACCTGTATTTCTTTTGCTCTTGAATTCTTCTAAGTAAAAATGAGGTCCCCATAGTGAAAGTAAAAATATTCAACGAGCATTTGGGCCATCTGTGGACTGATGAACCCCATTTCAAGCATTTCTTGGATTATCTGCATCAAAGAGATAGTTTGCTGATCATTCATTGCCTCTGCCATCTTGATATCTCTTCAAATTTTTAAAATCAAGCATCAGAATGAAGTGAAAGCCAGAAATACTCACGGTTTTTCGTTTTCTTTCTCTTCCTTTCCAATTTCACCTCTCAGTTAACTTTATAGTAATATTTTCCACAAAATTTTAGACACTTGGAACGATGATAGATTGATGACAAATTTTATTTTGATTTTGTTTCGATAATTGTAAACAGAACTGACAGCATTTTTCGGCTGTTCAAGATTAGGAATATATATATGAATTATGGAGGAGGAAATTACTCGTTTATTGCTTCTAATTAAAATTATAATACCTTACGGAGATCTATAAAATTAAAATTAAATGCTCTGAACGAAAATTATAATTTATTGAGTTTAAAAATTAAAGAAGGCTAAAAGAAACGTGACTTAAGAGGGGCCAGAACCATGGATAGTATTTTATAACGCTTTTTAATATCGAATTAAAAATAATAAGGCATTGGGATGGCTTAAATAACCATGGAGAATCTTATAAAGGTAAAGGTAGATTCTATTTGTGTATAATCAATTTCAATCTGTAAATGAAGCTGCAAGAAATCCAAATTAATTTCTTTAACGCACACAGAAAGGGTGTACCCAGCTTTGAATTCATTTTCCCTTAAAGCCAGCTATGTTTTTTTATTTATTTTTTTGAGATGATGTAATTAAACAGAACTGGTCAGAACTGGGAAAAGTGTCATAAAAGGCAGCTCTAACATCCAATATTATTTGCCTTTGGCGAATAGTTCTTATCGGGAGTTGGATTCGAACTGCCCCTCAATGGGTTTCCTTTTGCCGCATCAATTTTAATGCATTTTTGCAGGCTGCCTGCCGGGGGAGAGGCTACGTTTGCTCCCTTTTTTTTTTTGTGTCCAACTCTCTGTGAGTGTGTATTTTTTTATTTTGAAAACAAATCAATTTAGTTAATGGCTAGCTTCGAACTGCAGTTTGATGGCGAGTCTGACGATGGGTCCGATGCACTTGGATAGTAAATCAATGGAGGCCAAACAAAAATGGCGTCGCATTCGTAGCGTTACCATTGCAATGGCGATTCTTTTTCATCCGCTCTCCATTTTGTTTCTGTTTCTTTTTTTTGCATATTTTTGGTGCATTATATTTATATACCACACACTGCCATGCCATGTAGAGATAAACAAATAGATATAGAAACGGATAAACTTGCTCGTCCTGACACACATATGTATACGCACACAGATATATGTATATGTGTACGTTATTTATGCATGGTAATATTTTGCCTTTGACTCCATTATATATTATGCTCGCATACAGATGGCGGTCCATCGATAGATATATGTTTATACTATATGGTTTATGTGGCGAATGCTGCAAGTCTCTCAGAGTCACCGTCATGCCATCTCCATTTCGGTGTGTGTGTGTGTGTTTGTTGTTTTAAGGATAATGAATTCAATTTTAGTAAACTGTATTTATGCATTGCAATTTCACTTGGTATTTTTCTCTCTCTCTCGCTTTTTTCGTTTCAGTGCGAACAGAAAACACTAAGGAGTCATCACGGTTTCCTTACACATTTCAATATGGAATTCACACAGAAATTGAGAGAAGAATGAAATATTCAGAGGGTAAGTGAAAGAAGATTTCAGTTACTACTATTTTATATGAAAATATTTAATATTTATTTACTGTATACGCTTGTATAATTAAAATTCTCTTTCAATTCTTACAAATCCCTTCTCTTAACCCATGATGTACTGTGGGAACTTGGGCAGCTCCTTGATCCCTGTCATAATGGTAGCTCATGTGTATTTTAATACTATTTTATTGCACTCATTGAAGGACATTTCGCGGGGGCCACTCTCACTCAATTACATTCCATTTCCTTTACAATTTTTTTTGTTTTATTCAGCCAGGATCTGCTGCTCAAATTGTTTGCCAAAGCGTTTTTGCCGGGAGGCTTTCTTTTTTATTTATTTCCCCCGGTACTCCCTACTTTCCCTACACTTCCTTTGGGCAACATTCGTCCTGCTGCGGGTCCTGCTCCTCCTTCTTCTATATATTTTTTTCCACACTTCCTTGTGTCGTCGTTCCTCTAATGCAGTTCTACACACACACACACACACACACTCGGGAGTTACTAAATTCTCAGCTGGATTTAAAGCATATGCACGCTGGGCCAGAAGGGGAAAAAGGGGGCGGTAAGGTCGACTTAGACACATCCAAGATGAGAGAGGAGTGGAGAGGGGACGGGCAGCAGAGGAACCCGGATGGCGAACAACTTAACCCTCCCGGGCTATAAAACTTAATATGTTTTGTATTTAAATTTATGAAAAAGCAAGCGGTTACAATGGAAGTGCAAGTCCTGCGAAGGATGAAAGGGAAAAATTAGGGGAAAAGCGGAAGGAAAATGGCAGAAGAAAAGAGGGGTAACAGAGGGGTAACAGAGGGGTAACAGGGGGTAACAGGGGGGGTAATAGAGGGGCAACAGGGGGGTAATAGGGGAGTAACAGAGGGGCTTTACGGGGTATCAAAAAGGGGAGGCAAAAAAGAATGGCTAAGTGAAGCAGCAGGAATAATGGCTGCTTAAGCCGCCAACATGCGCATAATTGTCGCCAGCGTCATGTAACGTACCCCCCTCTACACCCCGCCCATGAACAGTCGCAGCCCCTCTCCCCACTTTTCTGCCCCCCCCCCCCTGCCTTGGCCACTCTAACAACTCCCCTGTCACCCTACCAGCTCTGGTCAGCAATGGTCAACAGTGGGTTAAGAAATATTACAAAAATTTGGATTTCTTAAACATAAATATATTATGAAAGCTTCAAAATATATATACTTTAAATTTAAATAGTCATTATTAAAAGGTATATTAAATAAATAAATATTAAAAATAATAATAAAAATAATACAATTGATTATAGTAAGATTATAACTCAGAAATAATAAATATAGCAGTCCAAGTATTTAAATATATATAGATAAATAAATTCTACTAAAACAGAGTCTATAGAATAATAAATAAAACAATAAACTATATAAAAATAGTATAAATTCAAAGCTAAAAGGTTAAATTAAATATTATCGAATTAAAAATACGTATACAATATAAATAAATAATATAAAAACCAAGTCTCAATTATCATAAATATAGAACAAGCAGTATACAAATCTAACGGAGTTTGAAACCTTAAAATTAAATTAAACAAGGAAATAATGACATGAACAATAATGGACAAACTTACAAGAAGCGGAGTCTGTGTCATTAAAAAACACTCAACACTCAACAAAATATCAAATCTCGTACTCAATGCCCAAAAATATACTAAAATACTTAAAAAATATTGTATGCTAAAAGTATCAATACTATTGCTCAACGGCCATATTCACCTTTCAATATTTGCTATTTCAGGACCTTTAATTAAATTCAATGGCTCTTAATCCTATCCAATAATACATACCAATACATACATTTTAAATCAAAGCAAACAAAAAAATATATAGAAATGAAATGAAATAATATTACCAATTTTCTGCAAACATAAATAATATGCGCCAAATTTAAATCGAGAATAATTTAAATTGCATAACAATTATTTCCGTTTGCAGTTCCTGCCGACATTTGACCACCGTGCTTAACGGTGAATTACGCTTTCGGCCGGAGGGCAACGGGGCGTATGCGTAATAATAATTACGCGGCGCACTGCCGACGCCGAAGCAGTAATATTTATGAAAGGCTTTAAATTGTCCTTGTCGGTTGTACAACATATATTTTAATACATTTATATAAGCACTGAAAGAAAATATAAAGTAAAATAAAGCAATTAAGTAATAGAAGCTAAAAGAAGATTACATTTAACTTAATTAAATATTACATAAATTTATGACTGTAGTAAAAAATACATAAATAACAGAAATTTATTATTCAATTTATATTTGGGAAATGCCTTTGAACTTGACTAAAAATTTACTTACTATTTTTATGGTGTTATGATACTACTTCAAAAAATAGCGTTTGCCTATTAAGGTCACACTGTTTTGTTTCTCTTTGTAGAAAGTCTCAATAAGGCAATATTTGTATTCCCCTTTCTTTCTTTAAAAAATTATTTGTTGCATAATTTTCACTTTATTTTTGATTTATTTAAAGAAACAGTATAGTCCCATTTAATATATAAAATAATTAAGCATTAAAAAAGCTAGATTTTATCTTAACTAAATAAATATCCTATAAAGTCTGAAGTATTCTTATTGAATATAGATCGTTGCTAAACAACACTATTTAATATATTTTCTACGACTAATTCATAGTAATTTAAATCACTTTTCTCCCAGTGTATTTATATGTATATGTATAAGTGCTCCCGCACACTTGCTCCGTTTCGGTTCTTTTGTGGTGTTATAATAAGAATGCGGTTTATCACCTGCCCGAAAGGCGAAAGGGGATTGCTAATGCAAATTACGCACAGTACAGTACCGGGGAAAAGGCAGGAAAAGCTGGAAAACAGGAAACCGGGAGGGGGAGCGAAAAAAAGTCAAGGCAAGGCACTGGGATTCTCACGGCGGCTGATGCCAATAAAAAATATGGCCTCGACAGGATTAATACATTATTTCCGCCTCGCCCCGTTGTGGATCGAGGAAGGACACCGGAGGAGTCAGAGCAACACAGCCACATATGTGGCTGTTGTTTTGCGCTTTTATGATTATTGTAGTGGCATCGTTCTCGTCCTTGTTCCAGGACCAGTACCACGACCAGGCACTTATGCATATGTTTTTTTTTTTTTTTTTTTTTGGTCTTGTGGAGCTTCAGAGCTACGCTCTCCTTTCGGTGCCTTTCAAGTGCACTTTGCTGTTTCATTTCAACTATATTTGTTCGCCATATTTGTATACAAATTCCTTTTTTCAGCATCCCTCCTCCGCCACATGCACACGGCACTGCCAGCCGGGCTCTCTTCTATTTTCCATAAAGGATACACGCAGGACAGCAGTGGGTCCGGCATCCCAGCATTACAGCTTCACAGCACTTCAGCACAGATACTCTCGCAGGGATACTCGCACAAATACTTGTGCAGGCACTTGCACGCACATCCTCACAAGGATCAAGTGCTGGAAAAGTGCATATTAATTTGATGTTTTTGTCATCTGAAGGAGCTGTGTGCTCGGCTCGGCTCAAGCACATTGTTA